TTGTTTTAATATTTCAAAAACTTCTTTCTGAAACCAATATATTTTAAAAACTTTATATTTATAATGCTTGTAATAATATATAATCACAAATATAAAAGTTATGTTAAATAATAATTAAATTTTTATAATAATTTTTGAATATTTCTATAATATGCTTTATTTCTCCTTACACAATCTACAATATGCTTTTTTGCGTCTTATATAATATGAATTTGCAAATGCATATATAATATATTTTAAGTATATATTTTTCTTGATTTATTGCAAATTAAACTGAATTAGTTTTTACCATTTTTACTTATTCTTAAGAGCGGATAGATGGTTGACACCCATGTGTGGACATACAAACCACTTCACTACACTTAGAATAGATAAATATTTTTTAAAAATATAAATTATATAATAATTAAAATAAAAATTAGTATGTAATCAATCTTAACAAAATACATGCACGGAAAAGTTTGCATGTGACTTCAACTAATGTACAATTAATATTTATGTTTGAATGCGTACTTGTAAAAAATTAGAATATGGCTCATAGGTGTTAAAAAGTTTTTAAGTGACTTTGTAAAATAAAATGCGAGAGAGTTATTTTTATATACTTCTATTTTTATTTCTTATTTATATTGTTTCATCTTATTATAATTTATTCTTTCGTTCGGTTATTTTTTATTTTATTTATGTTCTCAAAATTTTGATATACAATGAAAATAAATTTATGTATATATATATATATATATACATATGATATAAAATTTATTTTTATTTAAAATATGATAAGAGATAAGATGAGATGGTAACATAAGTTATGTATATTTTAGAAAACAACAATAAAAAGATGATAAAAGTTATAAAAAAATATATGATCCGATTAATATTATAAAATAATAATTAGTATATATTTTATTCATTTAGTAATTATTGGTTTGAAAAGAAAAATTATTTAAAATTACGTATTTTTCAAAAACAATTCAATAAAAGTTGATTATTTTTTATTATTTTTAACATTTAATTCTTTAAATTATTTTTTATCATGATTATATTTTATTTAAAATCGATTATTTAATAATTTGTTTATTTAAAACTTGTTTAGATGATATTAATATATTTTGCAATTTAATAACTTTTTGAAATAAAAATATATCATACTTCAAGTATTATTAATAAATAAAATTTTTATTATTCTATTAGATAAAATTTTTATATGAAATTATAATATATATATATTGTTAAAATTTTTTCGTAATTATATTGTATGAAATTATGAATATATGTAAAAAAATGAGATTAATAACTTTTATTTTCTGTTAATTTAAATATATTAATTTTAGTGTTATAAATATAATCTAATTTATGTTTTAATTCTATAATTTCTATAATTATAATTCAATCAATCAAAAGATTTTGTTTATTTTAGGAAGTTTGACATGTCATATTTACATGTCATCAATTAAAAGCACTAACTTTGGTTGTAGTGTTGAAAAGTCAGCTATTTTCAATAATGTTACTTCTCAAATAATATGTAGTAGATTATAGTATGAAAGTTCTTTAACGTATGTATTAGTTTAGAAACGAAAACTAATTTTTATATTTTTGAAATGAAATTCTCTTACAAAAATCCAAACCCAAATATGGTAAAAGGTAAATTCAAAAACAATGATAAACAGTACCGAAACAATACGGTGAATGGAATTTGGTCAAACTAATAAACGCATAATTTGTTCTTTTTTAGTTTTCAAAGAAAAACTTAAAGACAAGATTTCTACTATTCATTATGCCTTTGTTTTCTTAAATCAATTTAAGATGTTTAGACCTCCAAAATATCAAAAGAGTAGTACTCTACTTGACTAAAGAGCATCTTTTCAATCCGAATATTTGCGAGTCAATCTTCCTACAAATCATTAACTATAACGATATTGGTTTGGGAAGTTTCAAATATTTCAGTTCCGGAAATCTGTTACAGTATCTCGCAATATTTGACGATATATATATCTAGATAAACTTTAAAGTTAAATAATTAAATTGATATTAGAATTTAAAATCTTATGTACAGTACTTATTTTGGGAATTAGAAGACAAAAAATCATACGAAAATTCACTAAGTTGTACTTATTTCTGAAAACATTTATTCGGAAAATATTTAGGACTTTTATAGATTTTTAGAAAAATAAATAAATGAAACTGTAAACCAATTTAATATTCAGATTTATCACCGTGCTTGTACACATGTGCCTTATAGCGTTCATTAATATAATTTGAAACATATTTAACCCACTTAACCAACGTAAGAAAATCATAAAACGATATCATATTTGTTTATCTGGTGAAAGTTAAATACTCAGATGCAATGTCGTTTTAAGTTAGCAGACATTTCATTTACGATAATGTTTTTAATATCAAGGATGTAACAAGAAAAAAAGGTTCAATTTTTTGAAAAAAGAGTTGGATCAATTAAAAAAATATTTATTTTATTCTATAACCAAAATAAAAGAAAGTCTAATGATGATAAACTGACAGTCTAAAATACATATTTTTGACAAAACCTTATATATATTGCCTGTGCTGTAAACAGACTGTCCAAATTTATGCATCGACCAATCGAAAATTGTACGTAAGTAACACACGAGGGTGTAAAAAGGATTTTTTTTTTTTAGTATTTTTAAAACATAGTTGGATGGCAATGTATTTAAAAAATGTATTCACCTTTGTATTCTCCTTGGTCTATTAATATTATCAGATGACAAAAAAAGATGGCAATTAAAAAATATATATAGTTGTTTTTTTTTTTATCGAAACAAATATTTATTCATAGAGAATTGTTGATATCGGAATACACGGTATCAGTGATCCAATATGGCGGAAAGTTACATCCAAAGATAAATGATCTTTCTATTATATCATGTGTAGCAAGCAAATGAGCTGCTTCATTACATTCACATCTTACAAATAATACGTGTGCGTTAGGAGATTTGTTTAACCATGTACAAACATCAAATAATATATTAGAGATAAGAATGTCTTGTTGTTGTTGTAGTAGATGGACCAAATTCTGACAAACACCTTCGAAACTAATCGTAGGAAACCCCGTACACCAAACATTTTGGAGAGTGACTAAAAGAGCTTTGGCTTCAGATTTGAGAGGGGATAATGTATATCTCAAATCAGCAGAGCCCAAGTACTTTCAAGCCCGTATGAATCATGGACAATCCAACCAGCTCTACCTCTATTAGATGAACGATTGAATGTTGCATGATAATTGCATTTGTTATTTCCTGCTTGAGGGCGAGTTCATGTATGTTGATAGTTGGGAGGGTATAAAGTAGTAGCAGGAGAAAGATTGAACATAGAATATATATAGTTGTTTCATTCTATATACTAGGTATATAACTCGCGCTACACGCGAGTCTGTATTAATATTTTGGTTTATTTTTTTAACTACTATCTTTAAAATTATTAATTATATATACTTCTAGAAATTTTCATTTATATAAGAGAATTTAATATATAATGTGTAATTTATCCTATTTTTATTTATAAATATTTAAAATTTATTAGGTAAAATAATAACAATGACACCTATCGAATTATCCAACTTTGACGTACATATACATTTGATTTAGATAAATATAATCTTGCTAAGATTTTGATATTATTTTCTGTTTTTCATAGAATTTCTAAAGTTCTTTTTTTTCTTGAAGGTTTATGTGTTCAAATATTTAGTTTTTTTTATTGAAAGTCTTATTGATGTTGTGTACCACTGTATATATAATCCATGATTCATGTTGATTCACATTTAATTTTGTTAGGAAGCTGTAGTGATCATGCAAAACTATTTTCTCCTTCTCCATCATGTCTTCCAAGAGTTTTATGTTATATTTTTATTCAGTTTTTATTGTTTTAATTGTTAAATCGAGTTGTTGTAGATTTTTTTAAATTAATAATTGATAATTGTTACTTTTTTATACATGTATTTGTTAATTGTTAATTTTTTATTTAACTTTTAAATTTTTAAATCATATTAACATTTCGTGATTTAATAAATATGTTGATTTGGATCAATCAGATTGAATTTACTTTTTTTGTTGGACATAATTTGTTAAATTAATTTTTAATGTTTTAGTTATACTTAATAATTTTGGTTTGATTTAAAAGCTTATGTGGACCAATTAAATCATGTTTTTCTATCATAATCATATTTAAATTTTTTTATTTATTTAATGAATATGCTGATGTAGACCAATCATATCGAGTTTTTTAATCCGCCCTCAATGCAATATATCATCAATTTTTATATATTATATGATTATTTGCCCCACAAAAATGGTAAAACATTATTCGTTCCATTCTATATAACTTGACATCCAATATAAGTAAATCATTATTTTAATATTATTTTATTATTATTTAACAGTAAAACCAATGCTGTATTTGAATATTTACTATAAAGTGAATGAATAATCAAATGCGATTGGGTTTACAGATTTTTCTTTATATTTATATTTGTCAAAAGATTTCGGAATCTTTATTTTAGTTATTATAACGTCCGTTAAACCTTGATTAATCCTGTATATATTTATACTAAAACAAAAAGCTAATGACATCAAAAAGGGAAAAGGTCTTAAATTTTACTTAGTTTTGACATCCAAAATAGTGTAACTGGTTATTTAAATAATATTTTCTTTGAACTTCTTTTGTCACCTTTGAAGTAATTGTTATTTAACTTAATATATGGGCTTTATAGATAAATGGAAATGAAAACAGTCTGAAATCTTCTTCCTATATGACCATGCCTTTGGCTAATCACAATCAATTAGGAATCACCACTATCTCTACAAATCCCTACTCTCCTCATAGTCATACAATTGACAAAGAGAATACCATTGGTCATAAAACCCTTGCGTAAATCTCGCTCAGATTTTATTGTTTCCATAAGCAAAATTTAAAGAACACAAATTTTATTTTTTCATTTTCATAGTTGTGGTGAAGAGCGCAGCAGGATCATGAAGAGAACAAGAGACGTCCCTTCTCACTTTCTCCATCAATCCTCTGTTTATGATGATGCTGATTATTTCTCTTCGGAATCTGGAGAGTTTCAGCCGCCGCCGTCGCCGGAAAGGAAGCACTTTTGTGTGATTTGCAACAAACAGTTTAGCTCCGGGAAGGCTTACGGTGGCCATGTGAGAATCCACTCGACGGAGTACAACAACAAAGGAAAGAAAAAGAAGATGAAGATGAAGATGAAGATGAAGAAGAAGAGAAAGATTGGTCTGGAGAAAAAGGAGAAGGAGAAGGAGAAGGAGAAAGAGGTAGATCTGATTAGGGCTGACGTGGAAGGTAAGATTAAGTGTTGTCTATGTCGTAAAGAGTTTCAAACAATGCACTCTTTGTTTGGACATATGAGGAGACATCCTGATCGGAGCTGGAAAGGGATACGACCTCCTCCTTCACCGAAGAAGTTCAATTTCAGCTTTATGGATGATTCTAATGATGATGAAGATGATGATGATGATGATGTGATGAGTAGATCCATGATGATGATTGATGTAACAGAGGATGTTCAAGAAGCTGCCTGTTGTCTAATGATGCTCAATTACGCTACGGTGATGAAGAAATCAGGCGTGGAAACACCAAACTCCGAGGTAAGAAGTTCGAGTTGTTATAATGGAAAAGAAAAGGGAAAGAGAGATGGTGAAATGGGTGATCAAGGTTTGATTATAGATATGAAGATAAAGATGGAATTTGATCTGAAGGTGAATAGTCCACATGATGATGAAGCTAAGAGATCCTTAGGGTTTGATTTGAATCAGCCTTACCATGAAGATCATCCTTATTCGTACTGGAACTAGTTTGGCTTGCGATTTCGATTCAGATTGAGTAGATTAATCTAGTTTGAAATTTGGTCACTGAAGTTTCCAACTATCTTGCAATGTGTTATCTCCTATCTAGGCTTTGTGCATATAATGAAATCTTTGTTTTAGCTTGGCTTGCTCAGTTTCTTCTTAATTCTTTCTTCTTCTTCTTCTTTTGCTGTGTCCAATTTCTGTAATGTTTTCTCTCGGAAGAATCAATGTTATTGTTTGATCTACTGCATATTTCATTAACAAAAATCGTTGAGAAACTAGTTCAAATATCCAACGCATCTCAAGTTTTTACTTACATATGTTATAAAACTATAAAACAATATTAATTGGCTGAGAAACTTGCATAATTATTTTTTCAACCCTGTCTATTTTTTCAACGCATCTTAATATACATCATTTGAGAAGGGATTTGTTCATTGTCAGGTTCACCATATATTTCACGAAGAAAAGTAAATCACCATAAATAAATTCAGTTACTATCAATATCATTATCGATTTTACTTAGATACTATCAACTAGGTGATTTGCCCACGCCAAATTAGTTCTAATTAATCACAGACGAGTTTTATAATATTAGTTATAATTTTTTATAGATATAATTAGTTGTAATATTTAAGTATTTATTAATTTTTTTATACATTATGTAAATGTTATGTTGTTATACATATACAGTTTTAGTGTTTAACAACAATCACACAAATGTTTCATAACATTTTGTGTCTTTTGCAAACATTTTTTTTTATTTTTTCTAGTGTTTAGAGTGATATATAATTTCAAAAATAAAAGGTATATTAAATAATAATTGAATTATTATTATATATTTTTTTTTGTCAAATTATTATTATATGTTTTGAATATAATATATATTATGCTTGTTTTCTTCTTACACAATATAATCTTGTCAATATATATATATATTATAAGTATACATTTTTCTTAGACTTATTGCTAATTAAACCAAAATGGGTTTTACTATCGTCATTTATCCTAAGAGTGGGTAGATGGTTGGCCCGCACATTCGTGCATACCAACCACCTCACCGCTCTTTGGACATATAGAGATTTTTAAAAAATATTCTCTCTGTTCCTTAAGAATGATTTTTTTTGCGATTTTCACACTTATTAAGAAAAATCTTAAAATGACATATTTACCCTTTGTTTTTTACTCACAGAAAATAAACAAATAGATAAAAAACAAGGATAAAATTAAAAATACTTAACAAAAACTATATTAAAAAATGAGAAAATTTATCTTTTCGAAACATATTTTTTTTCTATAAGATCCTCCTTTTAGAAATAGAAGAGTATATATTGTCTAACAAATAAAACTAAAATTGGACTGTATCAATGTTAACAAAATGCATTCACGCTAGTTCGCATGCGACTTTGATTTACGCACATTTAATATTTATATCCCTACGCCTATTTCTGAAAAAAGTAAAAAATATTGCTTTTATGTGTTAAAAAATAATAAATATATGTTTTGTAATATATATTTATATAATGTATGGTTGAATTTTGTTTTTAACAAAATACGTATATTTATGCATGTAAGTATGAGTTAGAAATAAGTGAATTGTAATAGTTAGATGTTTGTTAATTTTTTTGATATTTTTCACAAACGTTATGTTTTTACACGATGCAGTTTTGGTGTTTAGCAACAATTACTAAAACAGTTTCTGTCGTTTTATATTTAATCAAAATTTCTTATTTTTAGCATTTTATGATATATGTGTTCTCAATAAAAATTATAATAAATATTTATTATAAAATTTGAAATTATATTTTATAAAATTCTCCGGTAGTTCTCCGTTCATCTCTTCGTCAATTTTTTTATAGCTTGCAATCGCTCGCTTTCACAAACTCTCCATAACTACAACGTTTAAACCAGTCGGATCCTAAATTTATATGTGAATGGTTTAAAGTGTAAAATAACATATTTAATAATTTATTGTTATATTTAAAATTAAAAGTTCTTCTATTCCTAACTTTGCTATATGTTTAATATAAAATATAATGGATCAAAACATATAAAAACATGATTCATGAAATAATGTTTTAATATATTGGAAATATATATGCATGAAATAACTAATATGTGCAATATAATATTTGAAAATATTTCAAATAAAAGTTTAAAATCGATCAAAATTATTCTTCTTTGTTTTTTTATCTTTTTGACTCATATTTGTTTCTTAATCTTGAATAATATATTAAACATTAAGATTATCTCCAATATGTTTTTATATTTTTTCCTCTAAAATATAGATATATTTCTCTCTAACTTATTCTATATTACAGGAAAAAGAAAAATTGCTATTTTTTCCTCCAATTATAGAGTAAAAAAAAAATAACATTGGTATTTTTTCTCTAAATTAGAAGATTTAAAATAAAGGTGGGTTGGAGACTATTTAAACCAAATATATAGCTCGAGATTTTTACAGTAAACCAAAATCGTAGAGATTCATTTTTTGCATTACTTCTACTTCTTTTTCACAAAAAAGATACTTATGATTTATTTTTCTATCTGTTTATTTTTTCATTTATTGTTTTGAATTGTTGGTATATAATAAGAATGCATTACATATAATATAATCTTTTTTTTTTCTTATTTGAAAGTGAGATTTATTTAGTTTTGACTCAACAAATCAAAACATTTCGTTTATTTTATGAGTCATGTCATATTTCTATGTCACATTTTCCAGCTCATCATTTTTCATTAAACCTGCTTGTCAAATAATATATAAGATTAGAAAGATACCAACATGATAAACAACTAGTTAGTATCGTCTAAACAAATATATATATATATATATATTTGTTGTTGATCCGCGGTTTTTGTGTGTTGTATTGTATAGTTTTAAAAATTTTGGGATAAGTTTCTCATTCTAGTCCTAATTACGTTTAAATATTATCTATTCGTAATCATTTTTTTGACAACCGTAATCATTTATTTTATTGATACATATATGGAAAGGGAACATATATAAGGTAAGATTAACAGATTATCTATTTAAGAAAAAAAAATTAATTTTTTTTTATCATTTTCTAAAGTTTACCAAACTTTCCTGAATTTTCTTAAAATATATGTTGCAAAGTTAATCCGTATTCAAATTATGGAGAGTTTAGAAAAAAATTTAAGATAAATAATTTTTTTTCGTATCGGTTTCAATACCTAAATTTTCTGAATCATTTTCACTGTTTAAAATTTAAAATTTCTTTTCTATTTTTCATTAGATTTCCTTTGAATTTCTTTTTATCTTTCTCAAATTATCCATTTCTATATAATACCAGTAAAATCTTGCTATGAATTTGACTAACACATATCTTTTTTTTTTATTTATTTTTTGAAGTTGTTGTTAAATTGTTCAGTTTCTGATAATACTTTATAATTGATGTTCGTGTTTGTAATTTTTTTATGATTCTGAGATTATAATTCAATATATATATATTTTTTTAAAGATTATAATTCATTTAAGTTGTGTTTTACAAAAATAGATGAATAAAAAATAATTCATAATATGGAGTATGAGTTAGATGTTTAGGTGGTGCAAGGAGAAAAGATCAAATTTAACTATATATATATTAAGAGAAGATCCGTGCTTTACGCGGATTTATGATTATTTAAATATTTTAGTTTTACAATTTACTTTATAGTATTTGTTAGTAGAGTTTTGTCGGTAAATATTAAGTTATAATTTGTGAATAGCATGTTATTTTTATTTTCGTATTGAAAGATTGGTGAAATAATAATATCTATGTTGAATAAAAACTTTATTTTTATCCATTAGAAGCATTTAAAATATTAAATTATTTATTTGGATGATAAAGACATGTTATTTTTGTAGTATAGCCAATCTGAAAAATATATGTGTTAAAATTTGTGACTGCAAAATAAAATGTTAATATATATCGGCATTTGTAGATTATCTAGACATATAACACAATTGTCATATTTTTCTTATGTAGCTTGTGTTTGTGTTCTCTCTAAGTCTTCGTTTTCTTAATGCGGGGTGATATCTTTAATTTCAAAAAGACTTCTGAGGCATTGTGCATTATGTAGTCGACATGATAGTATAAATGTCTTAATAAAGTTTATTAAACTCCCAGTTGATATATTTGAGGTTATGTTATCCATATCATGATAAGTGAGGTATGAGTTAATCACATCTTTGAAGGTAGTATTGTTTTCTTGTAGTATTTGATTGGTGGTATAAAAGATTGTGTAATTGATGATCTATTCCTACTGATTGAATGTGTGATTTTGAAATTGAGTTTGTTTCCAGTTGATTGATAAAAAAATATATTTGATAACGTAATGCTTATGATATATATTCTATTAAAATTTTATGTGGTACTAATTTAAGTTTGTAGATTATTGTATTGTTCTTGTTATCTATAGATTGTAGTAGAATTTATATTACAGTTTTAGTTTTAGTTTTGTTTTTGTTTTTGTGTTTATTGTATTTAATTGTTTTATTATTTTTGTTTAAGGTAGTTAAATATTTTATTTTGATGACCAGTTTTATTTTAAATGTGAATATATAGAATGAAAATATTACATATGTGAAATTGTGAAGTGCCACATGGTAGCATATCAAAGCTCTATTTAAAAAAGACTTTAGTAGATTTTTTTATAGATGTTAAGAATAATGGAGGTGCTTGATAATTAATGTAGTGAACTCCTTAAATATAAAAAAATAAAAAAGAAGTGAAGACTTTTATTCACGATTTTATTATATGTTTACAACTTGTGTAATCTCAATTTCTCTACTACAACCAACTATTTATAGTAAAGGAAGTACATAAACAACTTTCACAAATTTAAGAAGCTAATGACATATGTTATGGTGATGAAGATAATAATTAAGCTAAGTGTGTACTTCTTGCATGGATTAGACAAAGTATCTATGAGGTAGCATCAAAATGGATAATCACCACTTTCTTAACACTCTTCCTTGAGTATACATCATTGTGAAGCTGCGT